GCTGTTAGCACTGGAAGTCCCACGTCCCAGGAACCCTCCCAGTCCCAGGCAAACCAGGACAACTGGTGACCTGTGGTGTGAATGCCTGAGGTGTGCAACATGCTGGTTTCAGGTATTCGAGTCACACAGACTTGTTTCAACTCCTGGTCCAACACCCACTGGAAGCCAGACTTCCTGGTTCTTTGTAAGACCACAGAAGTTGTGGTAAGGAGTATACGGGAAAACCTAAATTAAGGATCCGATGGGGTCTGTGGAACACAGTGGATGCTTAATCAATTCAGCATTCATTCAACCAGTATTTTCTTACACTAAAAAATTTGACACTTTTATGCAGGAACCACCAAAGTTTCAGTGTTTAATATTTAACAGCACAACTGACCAAGGTCTAAGATGTGAAGTGATCATGTTCAAGAAACCGGGGGGGGTGGGGGTGGGGGGATCAGTCTATAAACTATATAATATGCATTAAGAAGAATGCATGCTTTGTAATAGAAAACCTGTCTACACGTAGTAGTTGCTTCAAAAAGCCATTTGGTCTTCTCTTGGCTTGTAAAAACGGTGTTCCAGATTTCAGTATACATTAGCAACCTTCAACTCTGGTGTGGCAGGCATCTTGTATTTACCTTCCAGTTCTTCCACTCCAGCCTGTGTCGTGAGGTCTGCAGTGTTTTTCTCCGGGTGGTCAATGGGACTACTCATGTCCTTGATTCTTCCAATGATCTGGCCAGACATGGTCTAAAATTTATCTTGCATCTCTTGCAGGAGTGTCTGCACCGCTGAGGTGAAATCCTGCATGGTCTTTGGGTCAGTCTCGGCCATCTCCCCAGGTCCCTTCATTCAACAAATATCTGAGCACAAACTGTACACCAGGAGGCAAGCTAGGTGCCCCCAATTTCAGCAAGGGACAGGCTTATATTATCAGGAAGGCAATTAATAGGTAACTCACAAAGGTGGTGACATGGAGAGGGGCTGATACTGGAGTGCACAGGGGTACATCAGGATGTAGTATGCAACCTGAACCCTAAACAAGAAGCCTCAAGGCACAGGGCCTGGGGCCACCAAGCTCCCACCAGAAGGAGGCAGACCCAGTTGGGAGAGTAAGTGCGGGTCACCCGAAAGAGTGGAAGCAGCACAGCCGAAGACCATGCCATGGAGGCCATCGAAAGAGTTTGGATTTTGTGTTCTGGGCAATGGGAAGCCATTGAGGTTTCTTTCTTTTTTTTTTTTTTTTTTTTTTTTTTTTTTTTTTTTTTTTTTTTGATTTTATTTATTTATTCATGAGAGACAGAGAAAGAGGCAGAGGCAGAGGGAGAAGCAGGACTCGATCTCAGGACCCTGGGATCATGACCTAAGCTGAAAGCAGATGCTTAACTGACTGAGCCACCGAGGCGCTTTAAAAAAAAAAAAAAAAAAAGATTTTATTTAGCCATGTGGTTTCAATGCAGAGGAGCAGGACTTCATTTCTGGCTACAGTTGGAAGATAGAGTCACCCAACAACAGCGATTGCCTGAACTCAAGCCAGATGCTGACTTGGTCAAGGGGTGTAGCCGCAAAAATGAGGAGGCACTTCAGAGACAGACTCAGCAGGACTTAAGGACTAGTTGGACATGGGAGGGGAGAGAGACGAACCAAGGGCAAGGAAATAACTCACCGTGACCAGGATCACGCAGCAGCTGCCGTTAGGGCATGCGTTGGGGTGGGGGCTTCGGCAGAACACTTCAAGTCTGGCTTACCATATGCTGAGCTGGAGGGGCTTGTGTAATAGCCATACGGAGCCAGGAGGGGGTGCAGGCAGAGATCTGAGTTGGAGACAGGGACTTGGGGGGGCATCAGCACGCAGATGGATTCCGGTATTAACTCCTTGAACCTTCACCACCTTCACCACACCATGAGGAAAGCACTAGTCTCTCCCCCATGTACAAGCACAAGGCAGAAAGGCTGATGGACAGGGCTCCAGCAGGGTATATTTTTGTACTTATATTTATAATTCAACAGTTGGCCTACAGCACTGTGCTCGTGACTATTCTAGGTTGAGAACTGTATGCCTTCAGGTCTTGGTTAAGCAAGCATCTGTTGAGCTTGTACTGCTGGCCAGTGCTGCAGACAGTGGTGAGGGGAGCCGGCAGTTGCCCAGGAGAACCACTCCTTCTCTCCACCCCTCTCCACCCCTAATACCTCCCCCCTGGCCAGATATTCCCATCATTAACCCAGCTCTCAACGTGAGGACCCCTAAGGGATCCATGAGCACATGGAATTGTACGCCAAACTACCCACATGTCCAGACGTGTGAGAGAGTCCCTAACCTAAACTGATTAAGAGCCAGTGGCATTATTCACAATAGCCAAGAAATGGAAACAACCTACATGTTCACCAGTGGATGAAAATGTGTCATACATACAGTGGAATAGTATTCAGCCATGAGAGAGAAGGAAATCCTGCCATTTGTGACAACATGGATGGAACTTGAGGGCATTATGCTAAGTGACATAGTCAGGGAAAGACACATACAGAATTATATCACTTAATATGTAGAATCTGAAAAAGGCAAACTCAGGAACAGAGAGTAGAATGGTGGTTGCTAAGGGCTGACCAGAGCTCCGTGCTGTGGCTTCTTTCTGAGGAGGCTTTGCTTAGAGCCACAGAGGTTTGAAATGGGTAAGCTTCTCGCATGGGAATTCTGGACCCAGGGAGGAAGGGCCTCGGGGGTGCCGCAGAAAAATTGAGATTGTGGCAACTGTCTGTGGCAACTGTGACCGAGGGAGCCAAGACTAGCAGTGCTGAGGGAAGTAAGTGAGAGGAGAGCGGCGAATTCCTACCCCTAGCCCTACAACCTAGGGCCAGTTCCTTTTCCTTTCTGGACCTCTCTTCTGATCTAGGCACTGAGGAGCTGGGACCAGGTCATCGTGAAATTCTAGTTCCCACCCCAAAATCCTCATTTCCTAGCTTGAGAGTGTGAACTAGCTCTGACCTTTGCCTGATGCACCTGGAGGAGTGAGGGTGCACTACAGAGGAATAGGGAGTGGGCCACCAGGGCCCACGCGGGCATGGGCAACCCTGCCGTGGTGAGAAGGCCGCTCTGCACCCCTCTGGGTCTCTCCTCCAGGATGGAACCTTGGAAGCTAAGCACAGTGGGGTTGACTGTGGGACAAATCAGCCTAAGCCCACCACACCACCCCCAAACCAACACTGAGCTAATTCTCTTGGGCCTTACTGACCTGAGCTCCCTTTTTGCCCCTCCTGCCTTTTCTTGGTGCTGACCACAAAAGCCCTTTCTGGGTGGCATGCTGGGTTCATTTTTTTAATATTGAATATTTTAAGAACAGAAATCACATTAAAATAGATGTTTGTGGAGTATTAACATACCTTTTTTTCAAGATTTTATTTATTCATTTGAGAGAGACAGAGAGAGCACAAGCAGGGAAAGTGGGAGAGGGAGAAGCAGGCTCCCCGCTGAGCAGGGAGCCCGACGCGGGGATCGATCCCAGGACCCCGAGATCATGACCTGAGCCGAAGGCAGATGCTTCACCATCTGAGCCACCCAGGCACCCCAACATACAATTTTTTTTAAAAAGTGCAAGCCCTGGGGTGGAAGGCATGGGGCGGCTGGGTGATAGACATTGGGGAGGGTATGTGCTATGGTGAGCGCTGTGAATTGTGCGAGACTGTTGAATCACAGATCTGTACCTCTGAAGCAAATAATACAATATATGTTAAAAAAAAAAAAAGAAGAAAGAAGAAGAAGATAGCAGGAGGGGAAGAATGAAGGGGGGGAATCGGAGGGGGAGACGAACCATGAGAGACGATGGACTCTGAGAAACAAACTGAGGTTTCTAGAGGGGAGGGGGGTGGGGGCATGGGTTAGACTGGTGATGGGTATTAAAGAGGGCACGTTCTGCATGGAGCACTGGGTGTTATACTCAGACAATGAATCATGGAACACTACAACAAAAACTAATGATGTAATGTATGGTGATTAACATAACAATTTAAAAAAAAGTGCAAGCCCTATCTCCAACGCTTGAAGAGCAATTACCCAGCTATAGTCAACTTCCATGAATTTTCTGGGTCTGAATTTTCTTTTTCTTCAGATTTTAACAACTGTGATATATAGTGTCTTCTCCCAAATCTGTGACTGTCTTGGTAGCCCATTAACCATTCCCCTCCCTTTGGGGATCCACAGCCTTCTTCGGTGTCCTGCCCTCTCCAACTCAAAATGCCAGTAAGGGTGAGCAGCAGGGAGCAGCCAGACCATTCCTGCTGGTGCCAGAGAAGGAGTCCACACTTCCACCCATCCTCTCAGTTCAGAGAGCTCCCCATATCTTTCCAGTGAGTCACTGTGCTTCAGTTAGAGTGCTTTGGTTGCTTAATGCCCAATGTCTTTGAGGAGAACTTCCAGCACAGGTGAGAGTCCAGGTGCCTGCCTCGCCCTGCACATGCATTAGAGCCTAAGAAAAACTCTTTGGTTTTCAGGGCCCATTGCTATCTGTTTTCTGGGTGGAAGGGGGAGGAGGGGAGCAGAAAAGAGACTGTTCTCAGGAGCCTCACTGACCTCTGCCCAGCAGCATGTTCTTCATTGGGATGGTATGATGGAGGACATCTACTACTGTCTCCCGGATGCTGCACCACGTACAATGTACCATCCCATCCCAGACAAAGGACCCAAGGCGCGGGTTCGTTAAGCAATTTATTCAAGGTCTCCTGGTACTGAGTAGTAGAGCTGTGTTTCTACCATACCATGCTGCTCCTGGGAACAACCACTGTGCCTGCCAGGATATGCTGGGAATGACCAATGAGGTTTTTAAGCTTTGAAAATGCCTCTACTCCCAAATTTGTACCACACATATTAAAATGGTCACTGAAAACTGGTGCTGCTTCTGTTCACGGCTTCCACGTGGTCCCTCGTGTTCCTATTAACAGCAGCTCTGATCTAACAATGGTGTTGAGCACAGAAAACAGGCAGCATGCAGGTATTCCACTCGCAAGAAACTGAAAACAGCTCATAAGAACAGAAATGTTTCACAAAAGCTTTATTTGTGGTCACATCTACGGTTCTCAGGTCAGTGTACAAACAACTCAGTGCAGTGCAGTGCTTCTAATACAAGTCATATAAAACTGCGGAACACAGTGAAGAATAGTGCACTCGATATAAAAATAAATTACACTTTAAAAGCTACTGCAAAGCTTTACACATATAAAAAGTAAACACAAAATAGTTAGTGAGGTCCTTTTAACTGTCTATCATACCCAGAAAAGAAAATTTACTTATGAAAATAAAGAGCCAGGGGTCTGTGCTGAAACACCTCCCTGATAAAGAGAAATCCTCGGAAGTGACTGAATTGTTGTCTCAGGCAATGTGATGAAGAGCCTCACGTGCCCTATCTGAGAACTGGAAATCACTACAGCTAGCGCAACGGCGTTCGGCTCAGGACCAACTTCTATGCCCCAAACACACTTCCTCATCCTGAAGGCTGAGAGATAGGAAAAGCTTCCAACTTTCCTCTGATCATTGAAAAAAACACAGTGTTTACCTTTTTGAGCGGAAAAAAGGACAAATAATATAGAAATGTACGTTCTTCAGTCTGCAGAAGATTCCAGGCTTCTAAGTAACTGAAAGGCTGAAGGCAAGACTGGTTAGAAGCTGGTGAGGCCTCACAAAGACTCTCAGAGCTGGGAGACCCATGACTGCACCCTGCCCGTGTGCACATGAGGGTGCCTCCACGTGCAGCTGCTGCTGCAGAACCTGTGTGAACACCGGCCTGACCCCCGGGCGCCAGGCAGGCACGGCAGCAGCGTGGGACTGGAGTGGGCCCCTGCTCCTGTAAGTGCGGCCTGGGGGCAGCAGAGCCCGCCGGCCGTGCTCTTGTGTGTGCCGCGCTGGTGCTTGGGCACCCACCTGAGTGCTGAAGTATCAACGCTCTCTGCTCTTCACAGAAGACTTCGCTCATCCCTGCTCTCAATGAGAAGACAAGAACTTTGCTTCTCAAGACCCTTACTTATCGAAAAAGATGGAAGATTTTTCTTTATGTAAGTGACTGCCAAATAATTCTGCTCTAACAAAGTCTCTGAAGTGACACCTGAGCTTTCATTCTGGGGCTCATTAGGCAAGAGAAGATGGGGGTTTTAGTGTAAGAACAAGCAGTCAAGATGCAAGGAACAACCCAGGGCTTTCATCCTTAACTGTCCACAGAGCATCTGTGATTGTGCGAAAGCAGACAAAGGTGAAGACAGTCAGTAGGCTGTAAGAAGTATTTTTAAAAAGAATTTTTCCTAAAACAATACAAACATTTTAGGAAAGCTGTCAAGGGTATGTCTAAATTTATCCAGACCAAAGGAACCTAGTCATTCCTTTGTTCAGCAGTGCTTCTTGAAGGGCAGGTGTGAAAGAACAATGAGCCATTCCAGTGTATACGAAGGTGATACTACCACCAATAGTAAGGAATAGGATCTCGTTTATCATTTTACAAGTTCAGAAGAAGAGTCGAGGGCAGAAAGCTGAAACCTAGCACGCGTATTTAAACCACCATGCCAACTCTCCCTTCCCGTACCCGGGCTGTCAGAGGGCGTGATGTGAGGTTCCTCTCCTTTCTGCCCCCCGTCCCCAAGGCCTGCAGCAGACGCCTACTGCATGGTTGTACTAAGCGTTCCTGGGGCGGAGCGCACAGCAAGCCATGAGACAGGGGCAGCAGCAACAACCCAGTCCTTGCAAGCCCCACAGACGCACGAGGCCTGGCAAGACAACAAAAGAAGCCCTGCCACTCTCTCAGCACCAGCCTCAAATCTGCTCCCAGTCACAAGTTCCATCATCGCTGATCCTAATGAGTCACCACAGTCAAATCCGGTACTGGAAAATGGGAAGAAAGTAACCACAGAGTAGCTGAGCCTGTGGCTAAAAGCCTCCTGTTATTTGTTGCCAATCTGGGTCGGTTATCTCAGCTATAAATCACCTCCAAACTACCTTCAAACGGAAGAATGCTAACAGCTTTCTAGCTGGAGCCCTCAAATAAACTATTGTTCTTGCTCTCTTTTCAAACATGTTCTCATTACTTCTGACTTAATTAAATGCTGCCAATACTTCTTTTTAGCTACATTTACTAAGGTGCATGGGAACCTCATTCTAGAGAGAAACTTCCTGCCCAACTAGCTGTCATTTTGAACAGCCAGTACGGCTATTTCATCTCATCTGAGGATCAGAGCTTTAGTTAATCAGATGATTCTCGGATGTGCAGGTGGGTTTTAATCTTTGTAGGGGAGGACTATGCCTTGAAGGTCAACAGCGGGTCATGCCATCAGAGCTGTCCCTCCTCCCACTTCAATGTAACCGACCTGCCTTCTTATCCAGTATTATCTCAAATCTCACTCTGCTCACATTCTTTACTGACTCACATATATCGGCTTCTCTCTCATCACAGAGACAGACTTCCCTTCCCTCTCGGACACATTCACAGATATCCTGAGCCCTGCCATTCTCTCCCCTCCACTCTCAGATGAGCAAGAACAAGATCAGTGTTACAGCAACTCTGGGGAAGGCACCAGCAGTAGTCATGACAGGGAAGTTATACTTGACAGGTATCTAAACTGCCAGGGCTAATTCATCATTAAAGTATTAATTTCCATGTTTACCACTTTGTGTCAGGACAAAAGACAAAATTTCCTCCTTTAAGCCTGAGATTTAAGTAAATTTTAAGAAAGTCCTTTTCGATACGCTAACTGGCAAGAATATATACCGAAGACACAGAGGTTATAGAATATTTTCAGCAACGTATTCCTAAACTGCAAAAAGTTTAAAATAAGGATGGTGCTACCTCCTAAACTGGATGGGAAGTTTAGGCCTTCCAATCTAGTAATACCTTAGCTGCTCTGTGGTTAGATGCACAACTTTTGACCTTTCAGTACATCTAGCATTGTCACACACTGGAAATTTGATGTCCAGTCCAGGGTGCTTCGGGTCAGGCCCCTGGTCAAGCCCTTGGTTCTAGGTGTCACTTACAGCTGCAAGAAAATTTGTTTTACAATTAAGAATTGGCAAGAGCTCCACCAATGAAATTCACAAGCTCAGCATAATGGCTAAGGGGAAGCAGCCAGCAAGAAGTGCCAACTTTCTTTCCTTCAGCAAAGTTGTTCTGTGCAAAAGTGGTTTCCAAACTCTACAGCTCCCTGGGAAACAGCACAAGATTAAAATTCCTGAGCTTTCCAATCAGACACTAGTGTGTGTTTGCCTAGCCCATGACTCTGCTACAGGGAACCCAGGATAGTCCAAACCATGGAGTTTTAAAGATCACAAAACTGGATGTTCTCTTGTGCTGAGCAACATAAATTCACACTCAGTTATATACATAATACAGGGCAGAAAACTAAACATCAAATTCCAGGAGGTATAGTTTGACATCAATCCTTGATCACAGGGATTAACAACAATGATACCAACATGGTTTCTACCTCATCCTCATTTCCAGCAGCAACTGCAGTTTACCTCCTGCATTCTGAATTTTTAAAGCTCAAATAAGAGTGTTTTTCTGGAAGTCAGGATTGCAAGAGGTTATTTTTACACTCTTCTTCATTTTCTATATGCACATGTGCTACTTTAACATCCAGAATTTTTTTTTATACCAGAAGTGATGAGGAACTTCTAGAGACTTATTAAAATTAACACAAAATTCCTAATGTAAGGTGAGATACGAGTTCTTACAGTATGCTAAGTACAGTTTCAGACACAGGTGTTCAAGAAACAAATCCCCTCCAACCCCCGATTCCTTATTTCTGTCCTGGTATTTTTGTTTTTGTTTTGTTTTCTTTAGCTTACAAGTTCTAAATTTATTCAGCTCATATTAAAAGGAGATGGAGCCTATATCCAAATCGGTGCCAGTGTGGAGAAGTGACTGCTGTCTCTGTCCAGGCTGAAAAGTTAGAGAGTATGTGTGTGGTGCATGTGAGGGCTTCCTGTGGGGAAGCAGGGCTGAAAAAAACAGGACACAAAATATGCACAATTGATTTCTCTGTATTCTTCTCAAGGTTTAGCTTACCTTGACATAAACTTAGAAGTATTAAGATAGCCAGTCCAGTAAGAAGTCAAAAGTATGGGAGACACTTGAAAACCTTCTGTATTCTAAACTTCTCTTTATACTGTAATAATTATAAACAATTAGGCCTCAAACTACCTACATGATGTCCTCATTAATTTCCTAAATTCCTGATTTCCAGGTACTGCATGGATAAGGGCAACTTCCTCTAACAGGTGCTCAGATCAAGGACACACCCTGATACTAGAGAGAGAAATAACATTCAAAAGGCCATAATTGACTATCAGACAGCTTGGTTATGGAGGGGTTATGAACAGTTATAACCACTAGATGGAGCCAAGAGTTTGAAGGAAACAACAGGGAAAAGAATTCCCTTGTTTCAGGAATATACAACTTTAATACGATTATAGAAAGTAAAAGACCAGATACCTTCATTTGGGCAAATATGTAGTGTAATTAAAAATTTCCAGTTGGACGGAAAATGTTTTTCATTGAGTTGAAGTCAAATCTGGGTGAGCATTTTACTCACAAGTAAGGACAAGCTCCTGAATCTGAACATTCCAGTGGAAATGGATTCCAGGACGGACAGCTGCAGAGTGCTGGATATTCCAGTTATAGGTGAGAAGGAGCCAATCCCTCAGAGCTCAGTTGTCAGTAAACACTTCTGCTTCAAGACGGTTTCTTCCGCCAACGTTGGAACAGAGCTGAAAGGAAGAAAGAAGGGGTTATTATTCAGTGAAACCACTGGGCTGGGAGCAACCTGCATTTCTTCACCAGTGTTACATGGAGCAGGTTGAGAGTAAATTACAGATCTAAATGACTGTGTTGCAACGCCTAATTTAGTAATGAGATATTTACAGAAGGGAATTTTCTAGATAAATGATGCTTATTTCATCTTGAAATGAAATCTAGAGATATCAATTTCCCCTACTGCCTTGAATAAAACATACCAAACACCTAATCATTTCTTAATGAATCAGGGTTATTATTATGAATGGCAAGAATAATACTGTGCTGAGCATGATAGCAAACCTGCTCAAGAAATACCAAGGTAAGTGGGTACACTGTTCTGTGCTTTATATAGATAGTCCCAGATGGCTGTGGCTGAGTTCCCACACCAGTTAACCTGCTTTGTCAGAGTTATGTGAAAAATAAAAGGATATGGGTTTTGCATGAGCACCCGAGAGTCTCTGCCATAGTTGAAGAGCATGAACTCAGAGGCAAGGATGTAATGTCATCTATCTCAGTTTCATTAAGACTTAACATCAAAATACATAGTACAAAGGACATAGTTTAACATGTCGAAACTACTAACAAGCTTGATAGTTGAAAAAGCAGTCATGTGTACCAGCCCCCTCCATTTCTACTACATAAAGACAAACACTTTCAACAGTTTTCTTTTTTTCCTGGCATTTTCCTTCATTTTTCTGTATCTCTGTTTCTCCAAGTATACTCCCTTGGATTTGTTATAAATGCAAATTCTTCGGCACTACCCCAGGCATACTGAATAGGAGGCTCTGAGGATGGGGCCCAGTAAGCTGTGATTATTTGCTTTAAAATTTTATTTATTTATTTGAGAGAGAGAGAGAGAGAGAGAGAGAGCACATGCGCATGAGTGGGAGGGGCAGAGGGAGAAGGAGAGTGAATCTCAAGCAGACTCAGCCATTGAGTGACGAGTGTGGAGCCTGACGCCGGGCTCGATCTCATAATCCTGAGATCACAACCTGAGCTGAAACCAAGAGTCAGATACTCAACCAACTGCACCACCCAGGCGCCCCCAAGCTGTGTTTTAATAAGCCCTCCAGGTGATTGTGATGTACAACTAGCAAAAGTCCAAGTGGCCTGTTTCTACAATGACTTCCTGCCATGGATTATGAAGGCTTACCATTCTCAGAACCCACTCACCAGCTCCCCAATCCTTCCTTCCTACCTTTTCAATACAGTTAAACAAACAACTTTCATCATGTTAATATTCAGTGTTTGTTGTAATTATGTAAATATTTTCACAACTGATATAAGCATATATTTTTTTCTTATATAATTTGTTCTTTCTGAATTGGAAGAACTGCTTCATTTTTTTCACTCTTTGCTCTGTTTTCTGTACTTATTTCTAATTTGTCCTTAAACTTGCAGCCTAGAACCATGGATCTCTCCACAGTACATTCAAACATGTCATGTAATTTTTCAAAAACTGGGGTAAGCCACGTGTTTGTGTTTTTTCTTGGCAATATCCTTCCTGGAACTCTATATCCCCTCTTCAAATCTGTACAGAATTGTTCCTAGACCAGTGGGGCAGCTGCTGCCTCAGAACTTTCCTCCACCTTCCTCCTGGTCAGTTCCTGCACCTGTTTCCTGGGTCCCGTGTCTTCCTCCTTCTTGGATAATCACCTTGTTTTGATGGAACACATCCTCCAGTGAGTAAATGCCTGAGTAAGACCGCATGAGAAGTATATATTTTAGAGAAACTCCAGGTCTACTCATTCTAATCTCACACTTCATTGATAGTCTGGATATAAACATCTGGGTGAAAAATAATTTTCCTCCAGAATTCTGAAGGCATTGCTCCATTATCTTCTTGCTTTCAGAATAGTAGACTGTCGTTCTGATTACCAATCCTTTCATGTACTCTTTTTTACCTCCCTCTACGGACTTATATATCCTCTCTTAATTCTGATATTCTGAAATTTCATGATGGTCCTTGGTGTTGTCTATTTTCATTCTCTCTGCTGGGTACACAGGCCCAGTTAATCTAAAAACTCAAGTACTTCTGGGCGCCTGGGTGGCTCAGTCGTTTTAGCGTCTGCCTTGGCTCAGGTCATGATCTCAGGGTCCTGGGATCAGGCCCACATCGGGCTCCCTGCTCAGCGGGGAGTCTGCTTCTCCCTCTCCTTCTCCCTCTCCCCCAGAGCTCATCCTCTGTCTCTCCCTCAAATAAATAAAATCTTAAAAAAAAAAACAAAAAACAAAACTGAAGTAATTCCAAGAAATCTCAATTCCTTCGACAATTTTCTCTTATGTGTTCTGTTCTTCTTTCTGGATCTTCGATGATTCATATATAGGACTCCCTGGACCAATCCTCCAATTTTCTCTTCTGTCCCAGTTTTCATCTTTTGGTTCTACTTTTTTGGGAGATTTCCTCAATCTTATCTTCCACACATTCTTTGGATTTTATTTTTAACATGGTTAATAATTTCTAAGAACACTGTGTTTTCTGTTTCCTTTCTTTTTCATTTCCTATTAATGTTGGATGGATGCAGCATCTCCTCTCTCATGGAACTATCATTTGTGAAGTTTCTGACGCTCATGTTCCCTTCTTTCCTCCGTTTCTTTTTCAGTTTACCGGTTTCAGTTTTTCCTCAAACATCTGGAAATCTTTGGCTCTCTTCACATTTATGAGGAAAGCACCTATTCGTATTTAAAAGTAAACACTGGAATGCCATTTGGAAACTGTACATAGAGGCAAAACTCACTAACTAATGGGCTTGCGGTAGTTGCAGAGGACCCAGCAAAGCAGTGTCCAGACTTCAGACCCACAGAAAATGAGATTATAAATGTGTGTTGTTTTAAGATGTTAAATATGTGGCAATTTGTTACACAACAAACTAATATACATAATTATGTTTACACAATTCATTTGCATTGCTATTTATGTAGTTGACTATTAATGGGCTTTTGGAAAGTTTTCAAAGCTTGGGCTATTATGAATACAGCTGCTGTAAACATTCTTGTACATATCCTCTGATAGACATTTATTTGTATTTCTACTGAGTATGTATATAATAGAATCACTGAGTCACTGGGTATGTTCAGCTTTAGTAGATATTGCCAAACCTATTTCCAACATGGTTATTCCACTTTGAAAAGTTCCAGTTGCCCCATACCTTCACCAACACTTGATACTATGTGTCTTTTTCACTTCAGTGATTCTGGTAGTATATAGTGGTCACTACATGGTGGTTTGAATTTGTATTCCTCAATGACTAGTCAAGTTGCACACTGTCTTGTATGCTTATTGACCATCTGGATATCCACTTCTGAACTGCCTTTTCAAGTCTTGCCAATTTTTCTATTTAGCTGTTTTTTTCTTATTGATTTACAAGAGCTCTTTATATTCTAGATATATAAAGATTCTTTCCTTTGTCAAAGAAAGAGAGCTAGAGATCAAAGGGGAGGAGGGAGGAAGTGCAAGTATTTTCTCTCACTCTCTGGCTTCCCTTTCTGAGATCTTGAAATTATTTCTTTTGATGAACAGAAGTTCTTGATATAATCCAAGTTATTGATTTTTTCCCCATTATTAAAGCTTCTTGTGACCTGTTTAAAAAATTTTCCTGATCTCCAGGATGTTTGCTTATATTTTCTTCTAAAAGCTTTATTATTTGATGTTTCACATTTAGATCTGCAATCCATCAAGAATGGATTTTTGTGTATGGTCTGAGGTTGGGTCAAGATTAATCTTTTCCCACATAGATATTTAATTTGTCCAGCTGATTTACTAAAAGACCATCCTTTCCCCACAGCACTACACCATCCCTTTTTCACAAATCAGGTAACTGTGTATGTGTGAGTCTGTTTCTAGACCCTACTCTATTCCACTGATTCATTTATCTTTTTTTTTTTTTTTGAGGTATGACTGGCATATAACATTATATTAGTTTCAGGTGCACTACCTGTCCTTTTTGATCTCTTTAATTCCTCTATGACTATTTTGTTTTGGGAAGGAATGTAGACAATCTCTTCTTTCATCTGTAATTTTTAATTTAGAAGTCCTAAGGACTCATATTTTATTGTATAAACTCAATTACAAAGCATTATTACCTGGTTCTCTGCACATAATCTCTATTTTTACAGTGGCAATTACTAGGCATATAAATGGTTAGAAAAATAACCTATTAAAATTGTATACAGTGCTATCTGACAACTCCATGTGAGTTCCCTACGGCAAGTCCCATGCCTGTTTTGTTCACTGCTATCTTCAGTGCTGCCAAACCAGATAAAATCAATGCCTGGTACATAACAGACATTCAATAAGTGTTTGCTGAGTGAGTGATTATATTACTTTGAAGACCGTGGGGATAAGAGAACAACTTTAAAATGAAACTATCAATTTCTCTCAAGTTAATCAGCTCTAATAATTCTTCCAGTTAATGAGGAAATTTCTTCTTTAATTAGGAAAGCATCTACTTCAGCTGACCTACACTCTCTCAGCACCAGGAGGATGTGAGAAACAGACCACCAGGAAAAAGTCTGAGGTGAGAATGAAGGCAATTGTATATCTTTTGGTCCTAACAATGAAGAGTTGAACTACATGCCAAACAAAAGGTCTTTTGATTCCAGCTTCTGTTTGTGGCAAGCAATATGTTGAAATGAACTTGTAACAGGTATGAGGGCTCACTCAGAGGCCTCATCTTGGAAATCTCCTACCTCACTCTTATCTATGACTCTTCACCTTATGGATGGACAACATAATAGTAAAAGAATGAAAGGAAAAGACACAAATGAATTTTAAAATAAATATAAATTTTTTAAGATAAGCCTGTTAACATTTAACATTTATGAAGACTTCATAAAAATATATAAGGGCTACTTTATAATTTTGTCAAAAATTGTTACTGACAAAAAACAGAAAAACACTATTCTAAATAACAGAGAAAACATTTATCCAATTTCAATTAAGTTCAGTTAAAGAACAACTGACATTACTGCTATAAATATATTAATTTTATTATTCTTTCCTCCTAACAGATGCCTAAGAACTGCAATGGAGAAATAATTTCCTCACCTGGTCACAGCATCCACCAAGAATGGTGCTGGGGGAGAAATCAGCGAGATTACTTCTCTGTTACCATGTCCCTCCTTCCCTGCCAAGGATGGTCCACTTCCTACCAGTCCATTGGAAAGGACGCCACTCTGCTGAGGGAGACAGACACCACACCTGAGCAGAGGTGACAACACAGGCCCGGGCATCAGCAGTTCAGCTCCAAGCCACCTTTCCCTAATGATTATGGTAATAAGTAAGAGGATTGTGATGGTCATGGGCTGTTTTGGTTTGTTTTTTTACCATCCTCCACCTCAGATTTTTATTTTTGTTTTTGTCGGCAGCTTTAAGCCTTTACAAACAGAAAAGCTAAATCACTAGCTTGAAGCCATTAAGTTAACAGAACTTAGGGAATGACCCCATTTTTAAGGAAAAACAAGAGTTTGGTAATCCTTTAGGCCTCGCTCTGCAAGGGTAATCAAAATAAAAGGTAAATCAAATATCATTAACTTACTGGTACAATCCACCGTGGTGTGATCATGGATGTTGAAGATACCTAAAATAAATTTTATATATGTGTTTACTTTTAGGGAAGACTTATTTTCATAATCATTCTCATAATGTTTTCTTCTACTACTACAGAATGCATTGTAGAGGGAGACAGTTCTTAATGGCTCCCCGAGGTCACATGCACTTTGAATCCAAGATCCTTTTCTACAACACAGATGCCGTACTCACGACTTAAGAAACTGTCCTAATTTTGAGAATCTCTTTAATTTAAAAATGTTCTACTCCAAGAATGCTACTACTACTTTCAGTTCCTTATTAATAGGACTTCCCCGACCCTCCAACCCCAGCATCCAGTTTAACATTTCATTTTCTGACATTTCAGTTCATTACAAATAATCATAGCCTTCTTGGTAGCATCCTGAACAGTGGATTGTGACTAATCCAAATGAATAGCACAAAGAAAGTACACAGAAAAAAAAATCTGTTTATATACAGGTCATTCTCTAATTATCATTCATGCATATAGAAACACTCACATTGCTCCTGACTCATAGGGGCTTTGTTACATTCTTTTTAATGTTTAATTTTCTACATCTTACTTCTATGTGTAGAATTAGAAGCTAATGAACTCCTATTTTATAGAAACTATAGTCCTTAGACTCATGGTCTTAGATTCTGATAAGAAAAAAAATTTATATGAGTCCATGTCTTATTAATAAGTGAGCACCAGAAGAATAAAAGTACAAAGTATGGCTTTCCCACCAATATTAAGAAAATGCACTTTTACCATAGGAAATACAAGGGAGAGAGAAAGAATATATGGTAAAGGTAAATAAAAAATGGTTTGGCAGAAACAAGTCCTATAATAACCATAATTACAGTAAATATAAATGGATTTAACTCAATCAGAGGACAGAGATCCTCAAATAAGATTTAAAAAACAAGATCTAGCGGGCGCCTGGGTGGCTCAGATGGTTAAGTGTCTGCCTTCGGCTCAGGTCATGATCCCAGGGTCCTGGGATTGAGTCCCGCATCAGGTTCCCTGCTCAGTGCAGAGCCTGCTGCTCCCTCTCTGCCATTCCCTCTGCTTGTGCTCTTCTGTCTCTCTGTCAAATAAATAAATAAAATCTTAAAAAAAAAAAAAAACAATATCTAGCAAACTGTTGTTCACAAAAGGTCCACCTAAGACCAACAGATACAAAAAGGCTGAAAATAAAAGGACAGGAAATTATATATTAGGCAATATAAACTTAAAAGAAAGCTAGGGCGTCAATTTTATATCAGTCAAAAGGGAAAGTAAGGGAGAATAAAGGGGCAAGGAAGAACACTTTAAAGTACTCAAAGGAGTTGGAGAAAGTATAATTACCAATATATATATACACCTCACAGCCTATCTAAAATGACAGATTTAGCAATAGATGAGAAGTGAATTAATCAATAATTGTAGACAGGTATGAAACACACCCTAGAAGCTGACAGAATATTAAAGATAATCAGCAGATTGATTAATGAAAGAATTCAGCAAGTATGCTAGACACAAAATCAACTTAGGAGTTCAACAGTAAAAAATTAAATACCATTCACGACATCAACAAAGGTGTAACAAAAGTTTAAAGTATTTAGGATTTAGCCTAACAATCTAAAGAAGACTTACAGAGAACATTTAGAGACTCTAAGATGAGAGAAAACAGAAATATCTATCACATTCATGAAAATGAAAAGATATTACAAAAATGTCAGTTTTCTCCAAAATAATCTATAAATTTAATATAAACTCCATTAAAATGCCAGCAGAATTTTGGGGGAAATCTGATACTGATGCTGAAATTTATAAGTAAGAATAAACTAAGTATCAGTATAAAGCCAGAGTAATAAACACAATAGTAGTAGAGCAGAAAAAGAGAACACCCACTGGAACACAATAGAAATAGATTAGTAACAAACCAACTGGGAAAGGATGAGTTATTTAGTAGATAATACGGGGAAAATTTTATTTTTGTATGGATAAATACAAATTTGGGTCATATCGAAAGCACAACTGACATCTTCCCCCAAAACCTCAAACTGTTCAAAAATTGGTTAAAATCTAAATGTGAAAGGTAAAATAAAATTAAAGCTAATAGAAACAAACAGAAAAGAATACCTCTGTGACCTCAGGGGTTGGGGTGGCAGAGGAGGAAGGATTTTTTTAAACCCTAAACCCCAAACTACAACGAGAAAAAATAAGAATGTGTGACATCAGAATAGAAGGTTACTCATCCACCTCCACAGTGGTAGACATAGGTTGTCTCAATGTCATTGCTACTTATCACAAATGACACGGTGATAAAAATGCCTCAGATGTGTTAATACACAGATTAGGAGAAAATATTTTTAATATCTAAGACTGACATGGAATTAATATCTAGACTATACAAGGAACTCCTGAAATTAAGAAAAAGACAAGTAAATTGACAGAAAAATGGGCAAAAGATACAAACAGGGACTCAATCAAAGAGGAACCCTAAAGCAGCATTAAAATAATGGAGGAAATATACCACTTAACCCATGCAAATTGAAACAATGAGACAAACCCATAATGACAGAATATATTAAAAAGTCAGATAAAATTCAGCTTAAGGAAAAACTGCTGGTAGGACTTATAAACTATGGGAGCCATTCTGGAGGCAGTGAGCAATACCTAGTATATAAGCATGCAACCCAGCAATCCTATTTGTGGGTATCTATCCCAAATTCTCCCACAGTACCTTCAAAGAAATATGAAGATTTTTTTCAAAGTTATAATAGTTTCAGGTGTACAATATAATGATTCAACAACTCTAGACATTTCTTAGTGTTCATCAAGATAAGTGTACTCTTTACCCTCTTCACCTATTTCATCCATCCCCCCACACACCTCCCCTCTGGTGACCACCAGTTTGTTCTCTGTATTTAAATCTGTCTTATTGTTAGTCTCTTTTTTTTTCCCTTGTTTGTTTTGTTTCTTAAATTCCACATATGGATGAAATCATATGATATTTGTCTTTCTCTGTCTGCCTTATTTCACTTAACATTATACCCTCTCGCTCCATCCATGTTACTGCCAATGGGAAGATTTCATTCTTTTTTATGGCTAAGTAATATTCCATTACACACACAGACACACACACACACAGAGCCCACATCTTCTTTATCTATTCATCTATCAATGGATATTTGGGTTCCTTCCATATCCTGGCTATTATTAATAATGCTGCAATAAACATAGGGATGCATACGTCTTTTTGAATTAGTGTTTTCATTTTCTTTGGGTAAATATCCAAATCAGATGGATCAGATGGTAATTCTATTTCTAATTTTTTGAGGAAACTTCATACTGTTTTTCACAGATGTTTATCTAAATGAATATATGAAAGGTGCCTGGAAGGACATACAGCAAACGCAACAGAATGGGTGCCTAAGGGAAAATGGGGAATGAAAGTGGGGAATGGAGGACAAAGGAAAATAAAATGAGACAAACAAAAGAGAAGCCTTGCATAGACCTAAGAAGATAGTCTGCCATGGACTGAGAGGTAGAATTAATTTGGGCATCTGACTTTTAAAAAAATGGATACTATCCTATTGTTCTTAGACATACCTTCTTGTCACAAATTTATTTTACGTATTTACCAATTCCTTAACTGATAGGAATTTTAGTGCTTTCTAGAACTTTCTTCCTAGCCTTAGTAATAGATATTTCTGCTATAAATTTTAGGTTCAACTTTGTTCCTCTCAGGGAAGATGGAACTTCATAATTTCGATGCTTCTTCAGAATGGTAACTGTAACTGAGATAAACATAAAAATATAATAAAAACCCTTTCCTCAATAAAAAGCATACTTTATTTAAATATCTATAATTTTTTTCAGCTTTACTGTTTTAACTGATGAAAAGTTTTGTCAAATTTTTTTCAGAATACAATAGCCTTCCTAAAGCCAGTTTAAATATAATGGGAAAAAAAAGATCTCATTAATAATAGCACAAAAAAGCAGGAAGGATCTGAAATAATAAAAATAGTAGAGAACTTATATCGGGGAGGCTATAATGACAAAGTTTAAGAAGAGATGCAGGAAGTACTGAATGAGAAAAATATTGTATTCTTAGCTAAGAACACAAATTATCATAAATATATCAATTCTTTTCCCAAAATAACTTATGAATTTAATGTATTTACAAATAAAAATCCAAAGGATTTTGGAGGGGTGGGACTAGAAAAAGTTATTCTAAAAATCTTCTGAAAGAATTAACAAACAAAAATAACAAAACAGCTACATAATGATGATGCTTAGCTGACCTTACTCTGTATCAAAATCAATTAAAATGCTGAAGTTATTAGAAGAGTGTTATAGTTCTAATAACAGAGAAAACTGTAACAGAACAGACAGCCAATATGCAGAATCTAAAATGCATGATATTCTAAATTTTGATTTAAAACAAAAGAAGCATTCTAAATTTTCAGGGAAGAGAAAACATATCAGTGATATTGTTTAATCAATTTGATTTTCATCACCGTATCCACTTATGATAGAGTGCACATGGAATATGGTTCTGAGTTAGGCCCCAGGGAGTCCTTCTCTGGGCTTTAGGCCATCTTGCATTCATCTTCGAAGTTACTTCCTTTATCTTTATAAAGGATTATCATGGCTTAATACTGACACTATCCCTTTTGTCTTCTGCCTGCTCACTTTTCCAGACTTGTGATTAATTCTTATCCTTCAGTAAAGTCTCTGTTTACTGATCTAAGCTAGTGGTTACCAAAGGGTGGTTCCCAGACCACATCTACATTACTTGGAACATGCTAGAAATGCAACTTCTCAGGCCCTAACCCCCACACACCAAATCAGAAACTCTGAGGGTAGAGCCCAGCAATCTGTGTTTTAATGAATACCCTCCAGGTGATTCTGATACACACCCAAGTTTAAGAACTAATGATCTAAGCAAACATCCAGGTCCAGAGAAAGTACCATCTGTACTTTCAAGCCTTCAGAATGACATCTAGTTCCCACAGCAATTCTTGTCATTTTACTCATAACACAATGAATGAGTTATTTGTATACCTTTCATCTCAACTATACAGTAAGTCTCTGGAGAGAAAGAACTGTTTCTTATCTGTATTATAATTTGGTCACAGTACCCAACACAGTATCTCCTATACTGCAATAACAATCCATGTGTTCAATGCCAACCACTCTTACCCTCTATGTCCTTATTGTTTCAACTCTTCATGTTTATCCCCTCTCATGTTATTTAATATGGTGTTGAATTACAAATGGGCTTATAGTAACATATGGTTACTATACAGTGACACATAAATTTAAAGTGGTGAAATTTTAGTAGAAAGGCAAGGCCAAGTGGTTACTGAAATATGACCTCTTATTAAATGAACAGTTTTACTATATGGTTAAAAAGGCAAAAACTGGAATGTAGCAGGAATATTTTTCAAAACAGAAATTCCTTTCCACCTTGCTGTTTTAAAGCATATTTACCTGAGGTGTGACTGTGTGGTCCATTAGATTCTCAGTTAGAGATAAAAGCAAGGCATCCAATTCATCTGTGGCATCCTATGAAAGATAAAATATATATAGCTGTTAAATGACTCATTAATCATCAAACTAAATTTTTTCCAAATCCTCTCAACTTACAATTCTGACTCAGCCTTTGTTGGTGTTGACCTTTAAACAAACAGGGATACTCAGGAATCATGGTTATAGTGATCCTACTTTGCTTGTAGGGGAACCTAGACCAAAATCAGAAGTTGAAAAAGCTAAAGTGTTATGTGGGGGCACCTGGGTGGCTCAATCAGTTAAGCGTCTGCCTTCGGCTCCGGTCATGATCTCAGGGTCCTGGGATCGAGCCCCACACCGGGCTCCCTGCTCAGTGGAGCGTCTGCTTCTTCCTCTCCTTCTGTCCCTCTGCCCCACTCGTGCCCCCTCTCTCTCTCAAATTAATAAATAAAATCTTAAAAAAAAATAAAGTGTTATGTGAATTTTCATAAAGCTACTCTTTCTGATGAGACAAAACTCGGGTAGGGTTAAGACTGTTCTGGCTCAGGGCGCCTGGGTGGCTCAGTCGGTTAAGCAGCTGCCTTCGGCTCAGGTCATGATCCCGGGGTCCTGGGATCAAGCCCCGCATCAGGCTCCCTGTTCGGCGGAGAGCCTGCTTCTCCTTCTCCCTATGCCTGCAGCTCTGCCTACTTGTGCTCTCTCTCTCTCCGTCAAATAAATAAGTAAAATCTTAAAAAAAAAAAAAAGACTGTTCTGGCTCTTAGCTCTTAAACTGGAAGAGAGAGATAAAAGGTGCAGCACAGGCGACAGTAAGTAAAGAAGATGCCTAAATTCCAAAGACTTCTTCATCCAGATGTACCGGTACATCACTGTTTGAAAAAGAATACAATATGAACTTCCCCCAAAAATGCTAATCAATACTTTTTATTAATATTTGAAGCACCCAATGGAAGATGGATCTCTGTACTACAAAGAAAGAGAGAAAGAGAGAGAGAGCGAAGGTAGGTAGGTAGGAAGAATTTAAAAAGAATAAAAGATAAAATTCCAAACTGAAAATAAGAGAAATAAGTATCTAGGGTATAGTACACATAACAAAAGAAGGCCCTTCGTTTATACAATCCTATTTCTATCTATCTGTCTTCAGGCTGTGGTCAATCTCCTATTTATGTCTCAACATTCAAGTTAATTTTAATCACAGGTAGGAAAAAATTGTTTAAAAAAAAAATTGTTCTCTCACTTCTCACATCTCCCTCCTCTTATGCCACTCCCTCCCACCTGTGGCCTGAGTGCCCCCAAACAGTGTGTATATATCTCTACCACGATGTATTAAAATTCTCTTTCCCAGTGGAATGTAAGCAGTTTGAAAAAAGAAGCCATGCTTAACTTTTGAATTTTTGAAACTAGCATGCTGTCTGGTACATACTGTAATATGCAATAAATCTTTGAATTAAATGACCTTCTCTGTTCCAAAAAATCTCAGGTTTCACTTAATTTTCAATGATCAAGATGTCAATATATCTGTTTAGAATTTTAATTAGCAGAAAGGAAGCTCCTGATTGAAGATATTTTAGATTGGATTTTTTTAAACCCAAAAGTCTGAAAAATTATACACTTAATTATAATTAATCTTAATTATACATTGTCTTTGGATAGTGGGAATACAGGTGATTCCTAACTTTTTCTTTTTATGAAATATTTAGCAAATTTCTACAATAAATGTATTTATGTAGTTAAAGAGCAAAATGGTAAACATTCATTTGCAAGGGTAATTTTTCATTTAACTTGCTAACTGAAACATTCAATGGGTAATGAACTGGGTAATGGGCAATGGACTGACTTTCTATGATCTCTGGACTGGTAAAGGTGTGACAAGGGGCAGAAAATCAGGGGCTGTGACGAGCTGGTTCTACTGCAACACAATGATAGGGTGCTGGTGTTTCAAGCAATCAATATTTATTTAGTGCACACTATGTGCCATCTACTGTTTGAGACACTAGGGTGGTATAGCCAACATCAAAAAACCAAAAATACAAAGACCACCTAAGACAAAAAGACCAACAAATAACAGAAAAACTGAAGAAAAAGTCCTGAGATACTCTTGTGAGAGATTTGACAATAGGATTCTCTCTAGAGAACTGAGGCTCAATGCTTTTCTCACAGCTTAAGTTCTGGTATCAATCAGAAATCACCCGATGTCTGTGATTATACCACAGGACTCAACTCAATACGGTCTTTGGAGAAACTTTCAAAAGCAAGTGTTGTTACCTTAAGAACAGAACCATTTGCTGCAGGTGTGGTATGCATCAGAGCAAGAGAATCTTCAGGGAAGGGCACATTATTCTCATTTAATACAGCACTGGAAGAAAAAGATAAATTCACATCATGGAGCACCTATACAGGCATAGGGAATGTGTTACAAGAAAGAACTTCAGAAAGAAGAGTAATAATTCACGTAGAGGAAGAAGAAATGACAATTTGTGAGGAGCACGAGAGCAGTCAGTGTTGCATTCATATGCCTTTGTGAGACCCTTCTCCACCCACCAAGGAACAGTTTCCATATCCACACCAGACTCATTCACAGATTGATCAAAATGGTAGACTATTTTCCATCCCTCCTAAATCTCACTGAGAGTTCCGAAAAGATTTTTCTTAAAAAGAAAGATACACAAACAAGATAGATCAACTGAATGATTTTTAAAAACTGTTGTCAAATACATGAATGGGAAAGCTCAGTGGACTAGAAACTAACCAGAATACCTGAGATATGGGAGAACAGTCAGAAAACCATAGGGAGAAGCCACCATCTAAGGACACAGGCTGGAGAGCTCTGCTGCAGAAGGCAGAAGCAACACCTAGAGTGCTCCAGATATTACAACAGGACTAGCCAGGTGAGAGGATGCCAGAGAATCTGTTACTAGTCCTGGCAGCAGGAATCACAACGGTGTCTGATCCCAGGTAAGAATAACAAGAACAGGAGCAGTCTCACAGATGGCTTCAACACCAGGGAGGGAAGGGGGGAAATCTAGAGCCCAAAGATCATCATCCACCAAGATAACACATCCAGGAAGAAATCCCAGTCCTTCTAATATCACTGAAAAGTGTGCAAACAGGAGCAGATCCTGAAGCCTACAAGGAGAATGAGAAAAAATGGGAAATAAATCCTAGATTGAAAAAGTCAGACATAATCAATTAGTGAGGTGGAAGCTAGGACTATTTCATCCACAACAATGAGCAAAAAGAGGCAAAGAGATGAAAAATAAGAAGGGATAGTTATGAAAAACAGAGAAATGATCATGATGTTTTAACTAATGGATACTCGATATTCAAAAATTTCTTCAGATTGAAAGGCTACCTTGAATACTAACAAATGTTTTTTAAAAAACCTATTCTTAGACAGTAATGAAAATGCACAACTTCAAGAATAAGCAGTAAAGTGTAAAAGAGAGAAAAAATAACTTTGTGCTTCAGAAAGAAGCAACAGCTCAGAGGAAAGGACTCAATATAAGAAAATGTGAGCATTAAAAGAGAGTGAAGGGGCGCCCGGGTGGCTCAGTTGTTGAGCGTCTGCCTTCGGCCCAGGTCATGATCCCGGGGTCCTGGGATCGAGCCCCACATGGGGCTCGCTGCTCGGCAGGAAGCCTGCTTCTCCCTCTCCCCTACTTGTGTTCCCTCTCTTGCTGTGTTTCTGTCAAATAAAATATTTTAAAAAAAAAATTAAAAAAAAGAGAGTGAAATATGTCTTACAATGAATTCTCCCAACGCTTCAAGAAAAGATTAGTCACATATAATTTACACTGCGCAAAACACAGGAAGAAGAAGATGAAAAGCTTCTGCAGCCATTCTGCCCAGTGTGTGTCATGACCCAGCAATTTCACTCCCAGGTATACACCCTAAAAAAATCCTCACAACATGTGTAAGGTAAGGAAGAACATGTACAACATTAATTTGGAACAATACTGGCCCATTAATAAAAGAATGAATAAACTGTGATTGACTTATGTAATGGTAGTTAAAATAAAGGAAATACGGATTTTTTAAAATTCAGATATGTCAAAACAAAAACCACTGAATTATATACTTTAAATGGGTGAACCACAGAGTATTTAAATTTTATCTCAATAAAGCTATTACTACAAAAATAAATGATCTGAATAGCCATTTCTCCAAAGTAGAAAAGACGTTCAATATTAGTCCTCAGGTAAATGAAAATCAAAACCACAATGAGACATGCTTCATACTCTCTAGGATGGCTGTAATTTTAAAGATGGAGAATAATGAGCATTGGAAAGGATGTGGAGAAACTGGTACCCACATACATTGGTGGTGGGAAATGAAAATGTTGTAGCTGTTTTGGAAGACAGTTTGGTAATTCCTCAAAAAGTTAAACATAGAGGGCGCCTGGGTGGCTCAGTTGGTTAAGCGACTGCCTTCGGCTCAGGTCATGATCCTGGAGTCCCAGGATCGAGTCCCGCATCGGGCTCCTTGCTCGGCAGAGAGCCTGCTTCTCCCTCTGACCCTCCCCCCTCTCATGTGCTCTCTGTCTCTCTCAAATAAATAAATAAAAATCTTTAAAAAAAAAAAAAAAAAAAAGTTAAACATAGAGTTACTACATGACTAATTCAGCAATAACCCTCCCTGGGTATATAGAGAATTGAAAGAATGCCTACAGAAATTCTTGTATAGGAATGTTCATAGCATAGCAAAATAGTCAAAAGTGGGAACAACAGAAATGTCCATCAATTCATATATGGATAAACAAAATGTGGAATATCTAATACAATGGAGTATTATTCAGCCCTAAAGAGGAGTGACATACCAATACATGATACAATATGGATCAACCATGAAAACATTATGTTAAATGAAAGAAGCCAGATACAAAAGGCCACATATTATGTGATTCCATTTATATGAACTGTCCAGACAGAGTAGGCAAATCCAGTATGTGGAGAGACTGCAAATGGGCATGGTGTTTCTTTTATTTATTTTTTTTTTTTTGAGAGAGAGCGAGCGAGCATGAGGGGGGTCGGGTCAGAGGGAGAAGCAGACTTCCCGCCGAGCAAGGAGCCTGATGTGGGACTCGATCCCGGGAGTCCAGGATCATGACCTGAGCTGAAGGCAGTTGCTTAACCAACTGAGCCACCCAGGCGCCCCAGGCATGGTGTTTCTTTTAGAGATGATGTAAATGTTATGGAATTAGACAGTGGTAATGGTGCAAAACTTTGTCAATGTACTAAAAAGCACTCAACTGTATACTTATAAAGGGAAAACATTATGGTACGGGAATTACAACTCAATAAAAAAGATAAAGGAAAAATGGTCACAGCAAAATGTGAAGATGTTACAAAGCTTGATATTTGGTACACAGACAATATATAATCTCCACAGTTTTCTCTATGCTTGAAATATTTTTTTTAAAAGGGGACACAGTAGAGGCACCTGGATGGCTCAGTCAGTTAAACGGCTGCCTTCAGATCGGGTCATAATCCTGGGGTCCTGGGATTGAGCCCCGCAATGGGCTCCATGCCCAGCAAGGAGCCTACTTCTTCCTCTCCCGCTGCCCCTCCCCTGCTTGTGCTCTCTCTAGTTTTCTCTCAAATAAATAAATAAAATCTTAAAAAAGGAAGGGGGATACAGTAATTTCTTAAAAGCGTTGTATGGCATGGGAACAAAACAGACTACAGAAAAGATTAACAGAAAAGGAAAGGGTCCAGAAATAGACCCAAGTTTAAACAAGAACTTAAGGATATCTTAAAGAATACATTGCAACTCCTGGGGGGAAAATAGATGATTCAAAATATCAATAGCCATTTAGAAAAGCAAATCTAGAAGTTGGAGTACATTCTAGGTTCTTTCCAGCTTTAAGAGTTCAATGAACTTGGCAGTCCTATTCCCATTATCCTCCTACTGGCAAAAAAAAAAAAAATTTTTTTTTTGATGAAGTTCTAAAAGGCTCTAATAAAAATATTGTGGGGCCAACTGATTTACTGAAATTAATTAAAAGGTTAAATTGTAACTCCAGTTTTACCCTGATCATCAATTAGTGTGTTTGTTGAATACTAACTCTAATGTCATATATGTAAAGCACGCTATATGCTTAGGGCTATTTTGGTTACAGTATCTGGAACTGAATATGCTTAATCAGGAAATTCCTCACTGAATACATTTTGAATAACGGGAAAAGAAACAGCATTCATTCATTCAACAATGTTTAGCACCGACTAAGCACAGAACACTGGATACATAGCGATGAACAAAACAAACTGGCACAGAGCAGGGGATAAAAGCCTAGCAAAGCAAATAAACGGCTTAATACTCATTAAAGAAAAGAGGCAGAAGGGACTTGGAGAGAAGAGCAAATAAATTTACTTGAATAGTGTGAGAGCTCATAATAAGAAAGTTTGTAAGAACAAGGCCACTGTGATAACAGGATGGCACTAGAATTAAGAGAAATAATATACATCCCTCACCATGTATAAGATTAAAAATATCTTTAAAGATTGCTTTTGCTCTGCAGTTTGATTCAGTAAAAGAATGAGAATGCAGAGACAAATTAGAAGTACCTCCAGATAATCTAAAACTAGGTAGTAAACAGCTATGTAATGGATAGAAAAGTAAATTCAAGCTATTTTTCAAATAGATAGCCTGCAATTATGTGGCGATACACTGGAGAAGAGAAAAAGAGACCAAAAAAGAAAAGTTAAGAGGAGAAGAACATCAATTTAATTCCATCTAACTCAGAACTGTACCTGTTTGTGGCAGCATCCTGAACATTGGCATTTTTATGACTTAATAAGCTATCTTCTCTTGTAACCTAAGAAAATGAAATCATAAAAAAATTAAGTATTTGTTGAGGATAATAAAGTAACAAAGAAGAAATTTATACTTCTCCAGTAAAAACAGAAATATCACTTTGCTTCAGTTCCAGAGGTTATCATACCTTGTCTACGGAAGTATCAGTACTACACCTCGTATAGCCCCATCACATACCCAAATTAATAATCCACACTTCCACTTCAATAGTACACAAATTCACACCTTTTACTAGACAGCTCTCACTTATTTAAGACACCACGGTGTGTTAGTCAATATATACAGAATCCCAAAAGATTCAATGCCAGAATTTTTGGAATTTACATGATGAAAAGAAGAAAGAGATGTTAAACAGTCTATCTGGCTTTTTATTTTTCCCTGAACACAAGGAATATGTTAGGAGGAAATTCTAAAATATATTTCTGAAGGGGTCAGTTTGTTCCTTTAACTTTATTGAGGTATCATTTACATACAGTAAGATGCACACATTTTTAATGTAGGGTTTGATGAATTCTGAAAAATATATACAGGTGCATAACCAACATCAAAGTCACCATGTGCAACATTTTCACTACCCCTACAATATTCCCTTGTGGCCAATGCAACCTCATCAAAAACCCTTACACATGGCAAACGGTGAGCATTACGTTCTATAGTTTCATATAAATGGAATCACAATACCTATCTTTTTAGTGTCTATCTCTTTAGAATGGCATGTTTTTGAGATTCACCCATGGTGCTGTATGTATCACCAATTCATTCCTTTTTATGTGCTACGTAGCATTCCACTGAATGGATATACCACAATTTGTTTATGTTTACCTGCTGAAGGCCATATGGGTTGTTTCTAGTTTTTAGCTATTTCAAATAATGCTGCTAGGAACATTCATGTACTAATATCTGTGTGAAACTATGTTTTCATTTCTCTTGTGTAAATACCTCAGAGTGGACCTGTGTGGTCATGCGGGAAGTATATGTTTAATATATTGCCAAATTCTTCTTTAAGTGCTTATGTAACATTTTATATTCTTACCAGCAATGTGCACTGCAGGAGCTCCATCACTGCCAACCCAGGGATGGTCAGTTTTTAATACTGGCCATTTCAGTGAATGTGTTTTTCAGCATGAAGTGTGATGCTAGCTGTAGATTTTTTTCATTGGTGCCCTTTATTAGGCTGAAGAAGCTCCATTCTGTTTCTAGTTTGCTGTGAGCATTTATCACAAATGGGTATTGATTTCTGTGAAATGCCTTTTCCATATGAATTGAGATAATTTACTTTTTAATATGGTGAACTATAGTGGTTTTTGAAGGATAAACCAACTTTTGTCCTGAGGTAAATGCTACTTGGTCTATTCTGTTAAGGATTTTTGAGTCTATGTACAAAAGGGGTATTGGTCTATAGTTTCTTTTCATATGAAATCTTTTTTTGGCTTTGGTACAGGGGTAATACTAGTATCAGTAAATGAAGTGGGAAGTGCTCCTTCCTCTTCTGTTTTCTGAAAGAGTTAGTGTGGAACTCTTATTTCTTCCTTTAAAGTCAGTAGATGTCAACAATGAAGGCATCTGGTCCTGGATTTTTCTTCATGGAAAGGTTTCTAACTATAAAATAAAATCTCTTTATTTTAGGGCTATTCAAGTTATTGTTTTCTTCCTCAACTCAAGAAAAATCCAAAAGTGTAAATGAAATGTAAGGTAGTGACAACAATTACTACTATTGCTAATACAACATGTAGCTTCCACATTGGGGATTTCAACACTTAATTAAATGCTCTTTATGTGCCAGGCACTCACTGTCCCATGTCGTTTACATTTATTATCTTATTCTTGTAACCCACCTTAAGGTAGGTACTACCAATATCCTTTCTTAAACATAATTAAACTGAGGCTCAGAGAAACTAACCTGCCAAGTCACAACACTAGTATGTGGTAGACCAGAAATGGGATTCAAACTCAAATTGTCTGATTCCAAAGCCTGTATTGTCATATTTTTATTTACTTTTATAGGCAAATAGTATGTTTTATGTTTATACTGGGGGGAGAGGATAGATAACTAAAGCATGAATAATATTCTGCAAGTCATCTCAGGTTCTCTTCAAGGCCTGTGCTTGGGGACAGAAGGGTTGTAAAGTGCATCTTCTCAACAACAGGATATTTTGAAATTCTAGTTGATAACATGATTTGGTGAGATGGGCTTCTGTCCTGATTTTAGTATGGACGGTAAGTCTGAAAGTCAGGAAGCACCAAGGAAAAACTGACTTTGAGAACATGGATGCCATAAACTTCATGGGGGCTGGTCTCTCCCCACTGCATGCTTCACAATGTCATGGCCAACTCCTTCACCTTGTAACTGTCACACTTGTTACAAACAACTCCGCCAAACTGGGGGCAGATGGGTGGTGGGGAATAGCAGATGGCTAAAGAAAGACCTAAAACCACAGACTTAGTGTTGATAGGAACCTCAAAGTCATTAGATTTTCTGGCTATACAAGTGGCAAAGATTAGGGACTCATGTCTATAGGAATTTGACTTTAAAAAAAAAAAAAAAAAGGACTTCTTATGCCCTAGCGGGTCTTTACTTTCAACTTTTTATCCCATGACTGCCCCCTCTTAATCTAGCTTGTACTCAGACTCAGGAAGGCATTCTGCCATCTTTAGCATGTGTCTGGGTACTACTTTCTATCTCCAATCACTAGCTAGGTCACTCTTCTTTAACGCTTATGTACATATGTGTCTTTGGGTCTCTCAGCCTTAAGTCTCATGTTCTTTTCCCTTCATCAGGACTATCCCCATTAAAGGCAGCTTACCTTATGCACTGCTTCTACCTGGGCCTTCAAAATGTTACTCTTCAAGTTAGGAGGAACTCTCCTGGCATTCAATCCTGGGCTCTCAATGGCATTATTAAGACATTTTTCAGTCAACTTCACCACCTCCTCCTAGATATTAAAAATATACTGTAAGCAACTCTGATGGGCTATAGTTATATGGAAAGAGGAAAGTGGCTGATGAAAGTTCATATTCAGACAACCAGGAAATCACGTGTCTTAAATAGTCATATCCTGTTCCAAGAATAGTCACCTCCCACATGCAGTTTCAAACTAAGACACAATAATCACAAACACGAAATATGAATTGGTAGGGATCTCTAGAAATCATCTAGCCCAATTTCCTGTCTTTAAAGCAACTGAGTAACTGACTACATCATTCAGGACTAATGCCTGAATGAAATCACACATGGAAAACGTGCTGTTTGCTATAATTCAACTGGGTTTTAGGTTAGGCCCTACACAGGCTAATAATCCCTGCAATTCTGGAGCTGTCACCAGGTAGATGATTTTGTTTGGAATTATGTTATATAGCCACAAATAGTCACTCTCAGGTATAGACTATGAAAATGACAGAACAAAACACAAGTCCAGTCAGTGATGATCACCATGAAAACAATATAAATAAACCATTATGAAAAGAAATAAATGGAACGAAGCAAATTAAGAAGTAAGTTTAGGGGTGCCTGGATGGCTCAGGTGGTTAAGCACCTAGCTCTTGACCTCAGTTCTGGTCTTGATCTCGGGGTCATGAATTTAAGCCCCACATGGGGCTCCACGCTGGGCGTGAAGCCTACTTAAAAGAAAAAAAAAAAAAGTATTTTAAATTATCTGCACTACAACTGATACTTAACTTATTTATGTTAAATATATTACAATTTTATTTGTCAATTATATCTTAATAAAGCTGAGGGAAAATCATGGCTAATTCAAATACTTTGACATCTTCTTTTCAGAGTAAATTATGTTACAGAGTTGAAATTACTTGTTAATTATTTATATTTGCACATTATAGGATTCTCAGAGCAACCTGCCTCTTGACATAAGCAGAGATTTCTTTTTGTCTATACTACAAACGAAAGAATTCAACACACACATCACAGGTAAAAGTATAAATTGTTACCATAAATTGTTAAAATTGCCTATACTTTAACCTACTACTTCCTTCCCAGGAATATAATCAGATGATGGCAGATATTTATTTAGAAGGTTGTTTGTCACAGCATTGATGATGACAGTGAAAATTAGCAATAATCTAAGTGTCCAACAGGTAACGGAGTAAACACAGTGGTGACACAATTTAACTACTATCTGTAATATGTCCTCAAAATAAAGAAAGATATTTATAATTGATTAATTTTAAAAAGCAGTATCACTGCATTTTTATTTTTAAAAATACACATTTAAATATTTGGAAATATTTATCCAATATTCCAAATGTTTGAAAATATTTACATATATCACATTTAAAAGTTTGGAAATATTTATCTTAAAAATGTTAACTGTAGTTATCTCTTAGTAGTGAATAATGGAAGATTTAAAATTTCCTGCTTCTTTAAATCTATTTTCTATAATTATGATGTATGAGTACATAAAAAAAATTACTGAAATACAAGTTGAGTGTAACAGCTTTAAAATATTTTCACATTATTTTATTATAGCACATAATTTCAGTGGCAGCCAGTTACTATGCCGCTGATATGACTGCCTTGGTCAAAATGTGGCAAACTGATGACCAAAAGAATTAAAAGGACACCCTGATTCCTAAATACCCCAAACGAGACCTGATCTGAAATGACTGTGGCTACTTCAACTCTACTGTAGAGTAGCCTTGGCTGTCAGAGTCAGCTTATAGGAGAGCTTATATGAGAGGTTAAAGTTGGTCCAAAGTCGGCCTAAGTTCCAGGCAGAATGCCACCAGATGCAGACTTGAAATGACTCTTAAAACAATCTTGGCTGGGAAATGTGAACATCTTTCAGCAGGGCACTTACACAGTCAAACAACCAAGGTGAAGAAATAGTGTAAACAGTAAAATCTAAAAGAAACATGGTACATTCTTACAAGAGGTCCTAATTCTGAGAGATCCAACACTGAAACGGTTGGATTAAAAAATATATACACAAACCTTTTAACCAAAGTAAAGTTCTTTTTAATACCTTAGAGAGATGCAAGGAGTTGTTTTAAGGTTGGTGATGGTTCATTCTTTTCTTGAGTCATGGAGCCTTTTGAGAATTTAACAAAATAAGGATCCACTTTTCAGAAAAAAATATATAAATGAATCAATGACAAGAGTATTTATTCAAGGGGCACCTGGGTGGCTCAGTCGGTTAAGTATCTGCCTTCGGCTCAGGTCATGATCTCAGGGTCCTGGGATCGAGCCCTGCATCGGGCTCCCTGCTTAGCAGGGAGTCTGCTTCTCCCTCTCCCTCTGCCTGCTCCTCTGCCTGCTCATGCTCTCTCTCTGTCAAATAAATAAATAAAACCTTAGAAAAAAATAAAACAAAGAATATGTATTCAATTTCATAGAGCTTAAGGCCCTCCTCATAATTATTCATGAATAGATCCATGATCTGCAAATTAAGAATTTTGCTTTAGAAGATTAGACACAATTTACCTTACACTTTTACTAAATATACACAAAGGGTTTTTTTTAAGCTTTTATTTATTTATTAGAGAGAGAGCACGAGCAGGATGAGGGGCAGAAGGGGAAGCAGACTCCCCGCTGAGCAGGGATCCCAACGCAGGGCTCGATCCCAGGACCCCACCTTACACCCACCAAGATTCACCAGTCATCATTCTCCTTCAGGATCATTCCAGTCCTCCATTAAATTTTTCTCTAATTAATTGCTAACCACCTAAAACTTTCATCTAAAGCTTTCAATAAACTCTGTCTCTGACCCTGTATTCTTCTACTTACAGAGATAGTAGAACAACACAAAATGAAAGCAAACACACAAATACAATCGAAAAATACTGAGGGGTAATGAAAATGAAAGTCTTGGGACACCTGGGTGGCTCTGCTAAATGTCTGCCTTTGGCTCAGGTCATGATCCCAGTATCCTGGGATCGAGTCCCGCATTAGGCTCCTTGCTCAGCAGGGAGCCTACTTCTCCCTCTGCCTGCCACTTCCCCTGCTTGTGCTATCTCACTCTCTCTGACAAATAAAATCTTAAAAAAAAAAAAGAAAATGAAAGTCTTTCTGGAATTTAATCAGCTTCTAAAAGACATTTCTAAGCATAAACATATTAGAAAAAGAAAAAGAAACAACTTGGATTCAAAAGGACAGCTTGAACAATGACAAGAAAGAAGAAAATCACTCTTTACACATCATGCTGATCTCTGAAGAAATTCCAGTTAGTTATCCAAGGATGAAACAACACTGCAAATCAGCTGATCCCTTTTCCTCTTTAAAATCAAAACAAAATTCATTCAACAGATCCTTGTTATCTGTTGTCTATATATAGGGAAAAAAGGGTGTCTCTAGATCATTATCTAAAATTTACTCTTACATTTAGTAGGGACATCTAGTAGCGGATACAATGAATTATTTTTATCTCATTTGATTTACCTTAATTATCCCTATAAGTTATTTAAGAAAAATTTTAAATTACACTCAAGCAATTAACTGAAGTTTAGTTGGTTAAATTGGTATGCACCCCCCACCCCACACCTAAAACTCCAAGGGCACAGGGTGGTGTAAATTATGAAGAACAAAGCTGAAGCATCTCAAGTTCCATTTTCTTCCCGGTTTATATGACAGAGCAGCTCCCTTTCAAACAAATCCTTCTGTAATTTTATTTGTATTTATTTGAGAGACAGAGAGTGTGCACGTGGGGCCTGGGGGCGCAGGGGAAGGGACTGAGGGAGAGGAGAGAATCTCAAGCAGACTCCCCACTTAGTGCAGGGCTCGATCCCAGAACTCCGAGATCACGACCTGAGCCAAAACCAAGAGTCAGACACTCAACCAACTGAACCACCCAAGTGCCTCAAATCCTTCTGTAATTTTAAAAGGCTGTCACCTTCAACTACATCAAGACCTATTGAACAGAATTAGGAAAAGGATGAGCTAAATCAAAATAAGTTTAAAGCAGCCACAACACTTTGCATGCATGTTGCAAAACACTCAAGAGATGACCTTACAGTTTCTATCACTGCCTGAGTTTCCTCCTCTCCTCCTGAACATCCATGAACATCCATGAATTGTGCCTTTGAAATAGGTCTGAAAGAAGTCGCCACACACACATTCCCCAGAAAAAGGAAAGAGAAAGTATCAGCTTTGGAAAGCAGGGCTTTCTCGGAGGTCTGGAGATGTCTGCAGGTATACAAAGGAGCAATCGAATACCTGGCTGTTGATGTTGACATCCATGTTGGGACGTGAAGACGGCAATGGACTGCTTTCCATCTCAAGGTGTTTGAGCTTCTGTGAGGCATCTTTTAATGCTGGAAAAAATGGCAACATGGCCTCTTAGTCTGCCAGGCTGTTACAGCTGTGTGAAGGCATACACTTAAGTTTTCTTCCCAATACCAGTTATCAATAATTAAATGGAATAAACCGTAAGACCACAGGATAAATATATTTTCTTTCTATAACCAGGTAACTATTTAAGAGTTAACCTAAATTACAGGAACATTGCCTTGTATCTATACCACTCGTAGAAAGCCAATAGATATGGAATCTCAATAGCATGTGTAGTTAAGAAGGCTTACAAGCCAAAAGATACCAAGAAAAGGCAGAGAACACCTGTGACATGATTCTTCCATAACCACAATGCAAGCGCCTCCTGCCGAACCTCAGTACTTTGCCACTTTCTTTCCTTAGCCCTGACTATACACTGCCTAAAACTACACTTCTGTGGAGCAAACAGATGAAGGACATACTGATTCAACAGAGTATATATTGATAACACAAGGTGTGATGCAGGACAAGCCTTTTGTCTTTATTATGTTCTGCCTAGCTGCAAAACACATTACAAATAAATTTCTCTAACCATTGAAAAGATAATATATTAAACACAATCCAGCTTTAAATGAACTCTATTTAAATTAACCACTCTAGGGGCACCTGGGCGGCTCAGTAGGTTAAGTGTATGCCTTTGGCTCAGGTCATGATCCCAGGGTTCTGGGATCAAGCCCTGCATCGGGCTCCCTGCCCACCAGGGAGCCTGCTTCTCCTTGGGGAGCCTGCTTCTCCCTCTTCATCTGCCCTTCCCCCTCACTTATTCTCTCTTTCTCAAATAAAATCTTTTTTAAAAATTTATTTACTTATTTGAGAGAGAGAGAGAATGAATGGAGGGAGGGGCAGAGGGAGAAGCAGACTCCCCGAGGAGCAGGGAGCCCGATGTGGGACTCGATCCCAGGACCCTGGGATCATGACCTGAGCCAAAGGCAGATGCTTAGCCAACTGAGTCACCCAGGCATCCAATAAATAAAATCTTTTAAAAAAAAAATTAACCACTCCAATAATCTTACCGTGCAGGGACGAATTTGGCATGAGTTTAAATTTTTAAACTGTCACTTGACAAAAAAAAAAAAAAGCTGTTGAATGCCTAGTAATTTCTATTTAATCCAGTAAAAAGGAGGGAAAAATTATGAAATCATTTTCTCCTGGTCAAAGAGATCTTATAAAAGTGTCCATTAATTAACTCAGTGGATCCCTCTTTTGGCTACACATTAGAATCAGATGTGGAGCTTTTAAGGAATACTGATTCCCAGAGCTGATCCTAGAACCATGATAACAGAATTTCCAGAGGTAGGTTTCTGGTACTGGTAGTTTTTAAAACTTTCCAGGTGATTTTAATGTACAAAACTGAGAATCACGAATTCAACACTGATCTTCACAAAATCTTCCATACTCGTTTACATCCTTTTTTTAAAGAGGGGGTCGCGGGAGGGGCAGAGAGAGAATGTTAAGCAGGCTCCACTCCCATCATGGAGCTCAATCTTAGGTGAGATCATGACCTGAGCCCAAATCAAGAGTCAGACACTTAACCGACTGAGCCACCCAGGTGCCTCCAATTACATACTTAATTGCCATCTCCTGGTTTTCTTAATGCTTCAAATTATGCAATACTAAATTTTAACATGATGATGTTGAGACCATGAATACTTTAGCTTATGCCAATACATACCCAAAAAATTAAAACCCCCAAAATTGGGTTTTGGAGGGTTTTCTGGTTGAAATAAAGCTTCTTGTGCTACTTCTGTTTGGCTGAGGAAAATCCTAAAATAATAGGATAAGCTATTTTTTAAAAAGTTAACTATTTATAACTACTTACCCATGTGAATCAGGATTTTGACATTATAGCCAAAAGAAAATACAGAATAAATTGGATACCAGGATTATAAGACCTTAATTCTTAATATCAAAACACTCTATTTTCACTGAATGACTTTGAACAAATGCTATAAATCTGAACTAAGTCTTATTAATGAAACCACCACACTACCCAATAATTTCTTCTGTCACAACTTTAATGTCATTTAAGCTCTGCTTGAGTACCTTTTGTAATGAGGGGACTCACTCACTATTATGTATCTATTTCTGATATATGGCAGAAAGATTTTTAAAAGTCTCCTCTATACTGATTCTAAATCTGCTTCCCTATCCTTTGAAGTTGCTGATCCAAGATTCACCAATAAAGCACCATAAAATAAATTCTTTGATATATCAGGCTTTCCAATATTTGGAGAGTTATTACATCTTACTTGCTCCTTTCTTTCCTAGGCATTTGCCTAAGTTCATTCTACCATGTTCTCCAAAACCAAAGCAATTTCCTGTAAGGTATATACTAAATAAATGTGGTTTGCTAACACTATGCTATGACAGTACTGAAAGAGAGGAAAAATTTTTTTTTGCATTCGTATAATGGATACAAAATGGAATGTACATATAAAATCAATACTGCCACCTCTATAAGGAAGACTATTTTTATTTTAACCCTGGAAATACCCTGTATTAAGCTAGTCCTGCTTCGGGCTAAGAAAACTTGCTTCACTATCTATTTGTAGTGATTACTTAAGGAACAAAGGAATAAATTTTTAAAGCCAATTAGCAGTAATACTTAAGCATGTTCTATTAAGCAGAAGCGCTGAGTAACTTTTCATTAACACTTTCTATTTTAAATTACTACATACCATTGCTGTATTCTATGCTCTTTAGAGACAAGAGCGTACTCGCTGGCAGTTCCCTATGAGCTGTTTAAAGATGGTGTCTGACTTCAGTGAGAGAAATCAAAATTGGCAATAGCCACATAAATACGAGGTGCTTTTAAATGAACACATATTACACTGAGATTCAATAGAAAGCTCCTATTTAAAGGCAGTTTATGCTTTACTAAATCAAACCAAATTCACAAATACATAGAAATTTTCAATATGCAACTTACTGTTCCCTTTTAACCTTTTAAAAAGTTAAGAAAAGCAGCACTCTTCCTGGATTACGTATTTTTGCAGCTCCGGGGAACAACATTCCTCATTAATAACAAAATATTTTCTAGGAGCCAATGGAATAGTCAAACATTTATTAAATCCTGTGCTATAGAAAAATCTTTAAGGAAGCCTTTTTCTCTTAATTTTCATCCAAGAAACAAAGTAAAAAGCATGTCTGAAAATTCATGAATGTTTAATGACTTATAAATGATACAAATGTTTAATTGTCCTAATTGTGTGATCTTAACTATTTCAATGGACCCTCAAGCCAAAAAGAAGGCATACCTATTCTTCATTAAATTTTAAAATTCAACTATTGCATAATATTCTTGAAGGAACAGATTTAAATAGCTAAATTTAAAGAGATATAAAATAAAAATTGTCCCTGATGTTACATAGAACATTTACTTACTCCCACATTCCTCTTTAGTTCCTTCCAATCCAGTTTGCCTGGTGACTATGTTAACTTCATCTGGTGCTTGCGGTATTTCCAGAGTGTCAGGTGCCCCAATTACATCATCAATGGTTGTTTCCAATAAGTCTGGACTATCTAGCAAATCAATATTCAGAGGCAAGCTGTAAGGGTGAAAGAAAACTAACTTAGCCCAAGAAATTTATCATGAATTTAAATACTAACAAAAATACCTGTTAAAAAAAAAAAATCCACGTAAGAGGTCATATCCCAACTGGTTTAGTCATCTGTCAAAACCTTTTGGATAGACTTCTTTCCCAGCCAAAAATGGTGCAAAAGGGACTTGATTTAGCATCCCCTCCACCCTGAAATAACCAAAGGGGAGAAAAAGAAACTATTTTCAAGATATTTAGACATCAGATAACAGAGATTCGAGAAACAAAAGGGTAAGCCCTATGACAGCCTTGAGAGAATTTCCACGCAGTGGTGCAGAAAAGGTGAAATGAGGCAGAACATGGAGGAGTCCCTTAGCAGAGAAGATGAGGCTGAGAGTCTAGAAAGACTAAGAGAGCCAGAGTCATGAGAGAGTACCAGAAGGGAGAAAGCAGTATTTCACAGAGAGAATCCTAAGGATCTGCAGAGGGTCCCCCAAAAGTATTCAGCAGAGCAATGATCAGAGAACATGTGTGAGGAAACTCCCTGAGGCTGGGGAAAGAACCATCCAACAGGATTTCGTCTCTCCGTTTGGCTGGGGAGAGAACTAGAGGCACTTACAATGGGCCACAGTGCCTGTTTCCACACTGTAAAAACACATAATTCACAAGGCACTGAATATTCAGAAAGGTCTTGCCTCAGTAGTGGAGAATAATGGCAACAGACCCACCTAACACATCATAAAAGTAAGACTTGAAAGGACCAAACTGTTTCCAAGTAATAACTGCATCCTAAAACAAAGCTCAAGAAGATTTAGAGGAACATAAAATTACCTAGCATCCAACAAAGGAAATTTCAAAATGTCAGGCACCCACTGAAAAATTACCAGGAATGCAAAGAGGCAGAAAAAAATATCCCGTATTTAAGAGAATAATCAATCAATAGAAACTAACATTAGAATCAGCAGAGAAAGACATTAAAACAGCTATAACTGTATTCCATATGTTCACGAAGTTAAGCAGAGACATAGAAAATATAAAAGACCCAAATCAAACTTCTTGAGATAATGGAGATGAAAAATACATTGAATGGGATTGACAGCAGATTTGACATTAGAAAAGGTACTGAATTTGAAAGCCCAGCAATACAAATTATACACAATAAAACACACAGAGAAAAAAGAATCCCCCCAAAATGAAAAGAATCTCAGTTAGCTGTGGGACAACTTCAAGCAGTGTACTGTATGAATAACTGGAGTCCCAAAGTGGGAATGGGACCAAACAAATTTTTAAAGAAATAATGGCTGAGGATTTTCTAAATTTGATGAAAACTGTAAACTCATAGATCCTAGAATCTCAACAAACCCTAAACACAAACAATATGAAGGAAACTCACCAAAGCACATCATAATCAAACTGCCTAAAACCAATGATAAAAAGAAAATCTTAAAAGTAGCCTAAGACAGGGGCGCCTGGGTGGCTCAGATGGTTAAGCGTCTGCCTTCGGCTCCGGTCATGATCCCAGGGTCCCGGGATCGAGCCCCACATTGGGCTCCTTGCTCGGCGGGAGGCCTACTTCTCCCTCTCCCACTCCCCCTGCTTGTGTCCCCTCTCTCTCTGTCTCTCTCTCTCTCTGTCAAATAAATAAATAAAAAAAATCTTTAAAAAAAAAAAAAAAGTAGCCTAAGACATATGTTCAAAGGAATAAAGATAAAGATGACAGCAGATTTCTCATCAGAAATAACGCACAGTGGAGGGCAGAAGGGGAACATCTTGAAATCACTGAAAGAAAAAAAATTAACAACCCAAATTTTACATCCAGGAAAAAAAAAAAACTTATTTAAAGAACAAAGGAAAAGTTAGGCATATACCTAAGAAAAACAAAAACATACATCCACAAAAAAATGTGTACACAAATGTTCACAGCAGCATTCTTCCTAACAGCCAAAAAGTGGAAGCAACTCAAATGCCCATCAACTGAGGAATGGAGAAATAAAAAGTGGTATAACCATAGGAGGGATTCTTAATCAGCAATAAAAAGGTGTGAAGTACTGACACATGCTACAACATGGATGACCCTTGAAAACATGATGTTAAGGGGAAAAAGCCAGACACAAAATACCACCTATGAGTCCACTGTCCAGAATAGGCAAATCCATAAAGACAGACAGTAGATTTGTGGCTGCCAGGGGCTGGTGGAGGAGACAAGGCAGAATGCAGACTGACTGCTGTGGGGTGAGCCATGAAATTAAGATTCAATATTAAGTGCTGCCTTGACACCTTGGGCCTCACAGGGCCCCAAACACCTAATCAAGCATTCCCTTGCTCTTACCAGATATGCTGCTTCCAATCCCCTCGCTCCCATCCAGTGGAAAAGATCCCCAGGCACCTGGCTGGCACAGTCAGTAGAGCATACAACTCTTAATCCTGGGGTTTGAGTTTGAGCCCCATGTTGGGTGTAGAGATTACTTAAAAATAAAATCTTTAAAAAAAAAGTTCCCCATCTAGCTGTACCAGCTGCATTCTACCTAGTTCTTAATGAGTTTTACTTCCCTGCTGGCCTGTGAAATTATTCAAACAAGCAATTACATCTTCGGGTGGGAACCAGGAGTCACCTCATCCTCATGTTACTATAATGCCTGCCTCCCACAGCTCATGCTTATTCACTTTGCTCCCAAGTAGAACACCCACATGGCCCTGTATGTTGTGAGGTTTTCCCCTCCCTTGAGCTATGAGTATATGTGACTAACAAATTGCTGTCTATTTCATCTGCCCAGTGTTGGGTGTTGTATGTTCAGCCATTTTGTAATATTTAGGGTAGGAGATACCTCCCCTATAAGAGTGAATAGGAACTGTGATCAAAACAACTGCTAAAGGGTATGGGGTTTCTTCTAGGGGGACAAAAATGTCCTAAAATAAAACTGTGATAAAGGCTGCATAATCCTATGAATGTACTAAAAACACTGAATGTTCACTTTAAATGGTGAATGCTAGAGCATGTGAATTATATCTTAATAAAGCAAAAAAATCAAAATAAAAAGTCATTCATACAAAAAAATTCATGACCAAAGACCTGTACTAATAAAACATTAAAGAAAAACCTATAGGCAGAAGTAAAATGAACAATGCACAATGGGATTTATAATGTACACAAAGTAAAATGCTTGACAAATCATAGTAAAAAGGCTAGGGAGTAGAAATGGAAGTATCCTACAGTAAGGTTCTTATACTATACATGAAACGGTATAATATCCCTTAAATGTAGACTGGGGTAAGTTGTATATGCTAAAGCAACCATTAAAGTAAAAACAACACAAAACACAAAAAAACACAGAAAAGACATAAATGGAATTTTTTTTTAAATAAAACCTGATTAATAAAAAAGAAGGCAGAAAGAGAGGAAGACAGGAATAACATGGGACAAACAGAAAACAACAAAGATGAGACTTAAACTTAATCATAGCAATAATCACAATACATGGAAATGGTCTAACATTTAAATGCAGAGATTGTCATTTAAGATTTAAAAAGCAAAATCCAATTATATACTGCCTATCTAAACAATTTAAATATGAAGAAACAAAGAGATTAAAAATAAGACAGAAAAGAAATTAAAAAATGAAGATAAAAAGACAGAAAAAGATCTATCAAGCTAACACTAGTTGAAAGAAAACCTGGCTGAATATATTGATATCAGAGTAGAGTTCAGAGCAGAGAACAGTACTTAACATGAAGATGATCATTTTATCAGGATAAAGGAGTCACTTAATCCAGAGAATAATACTAAATATTTATGAACTTAACGACAAAGCTTCAAAATACATGAAGCCAACTGAAAGACCTACAAAGAGTAATGGGACAAATCAATAATTACAATTGGAGATTTCAATACCCCCCTTTCAATAAGTGATAGAACAACCAGGCAGAAAATCAGCAAGGTTATAGTAGATTTGAACAACACGAACCACAACTTTACCTTATTGACATTTATAGAACACTATACCCAAAACAGCAAAATACATGTTTTTCTCAAGTGCGCACAAAATACCCACTAAGACCATATTCTGGGCCATAAAATAAGACTCAATAAATTCAAAAGGATTCAAGTCATACAAAATATATGTTCTTTGACCAGGGCAGAATTAAATTAGAAATCCAAAATAGAAAGATACCTGGAAAATCCTCAAACATTTGGAAACTATATAAGGCTAAATTAACAAATGGCTCAAAAAAGATACCAAAGGGAAGACTAGAAAAGTATTTTGAACTAAATGAAAATGAAAGTATAACCTATTCAAATTTTTAAGGATCCCACTAATGTAATACTTAGAGGAATTATTTATAGTACTAAATATCTATATTAGAAAAGAATAAAGTTCTCAAATCAGTGACCTAAGCTTATACTTTGATAAACTACAAAGAGATGAACAAATTAAATGCAAAGGAAGAGGAGGGTAGAAAATAACAAAGATCAAAAGGAAAAAACAACAGAGAAAACGAATTAAACCAAGAGCTAGTTCTTTGAGAAGCTCAACGTAATTGATAATCTCTAGCTAAACTGATAAGGAAAAAAAGAATACATATTTACCAATATCAGGAATAAGAAAGGTGACATCATTACAGATCCTACATATATTAAAATGGTATAAGAGGGGCACCTGGTTGGCTTAGTCAGTGGAGCATGTAGCTCTTGATCTTGGGGTCGTGAGTTCAAGCCCCATGGTACTTACTTGAAAATAAATAAATAAAATGGTATAAGGGAACATTAGAAACTTTATGCCAATAAATTCAACAACTTAGATGATATGGAAAAACTCCTTGAAAGTACAAACGACCAAAGCTTACTATAGAAGACACAAAATCTGAATAGACACATAAAAGAAACTGAATTTGTAATTAAAAATCTCACAAAGAAAAACTAAGGCCCAAATGGTAAATTCTATCAAATATTTAAAAGAAGAAATAATGCCAATCTTCAACAAACTATTACAGAAACAGAGGAAGAGGCAACA